TGTAATACCAGCGGCGGCACACTGAGCAAGTATCCTTTCACCCTCCCCGCTTAGCTCATCCAGTTGGTAGCAGCAACACAGCCAGCACTACCAGCGTTGCCTCTCATACAAGCAGCCACCCCATGCTTCGTTTCCGTGTTGTTACATAATACACGCTGCGCCGCGGTTACGTGGATGAGGGATGAGGTGCTGCGTTGCCTAATAACCTCCCCCTGCCATGTTTCCCTCACCCCGGCCGCAACCCCCAGCTCTTTCCCTCTTCCCTCGGCCCTCTTTCTCTCTCAAACGAGCTACCCTTTAGTTGTGTTGTTTGCACGCTACACCGAAACATTCACAAGTTCTCCACGACTACACAACGAGCAGTAACCATCGCTACCTCTCGTTTCTCTAACACCGCGGAAACTAAAATCTAAGAGAGAGAGAGAGAGAGAAAGACTGGGAGGAGTGGGATGATGGCAGGTACGCGGGAACGAGGGTTCGACTACGCCGAGAGCGCGCGAAGTAATTATATGAGGGCGGAGCACGCTAGGCTCATCTACACCTAACACATTCATATCAAGTCGGCTAGAGCCAAGGAGCCGCTGAAACGTGAGAATCGTACATCAGGATTTCATAGCTTTGCCTGCGAAGACTACTACGGAAGGCCATTGGAAATGGGTTTTACGCTTTGGTGTACGTTCTCTCGAATCGATGAGAACACGAAAATCATGGCAATTGAATTCTTTCATCGTATCGATCAATTTCATACAATAAAATTCTAATTTAATTCATTTGCATAGTATAACTATCAGTTATTACGATCGACGAAACATAAAAATTGTATTTAAAAGTCTTCGTTTTTTGACCATAAAAATAAAATAGATTATCCAGAAAAAATTCCATCCGAGCCGGTAATAGTTCACAGGAGCAAAAGCGAGAGATAAGTCGAGCTTGGCAGAGAATTTGCTCATCAAGAACGTAAAGCTTCTCTTAGCGAAGGATATAGAAGAGAAAATCACGAGGAAGAAGAAGGATCGAAAAGGCAAAGAAGAAAGGAGAAGGTTGGTAGGTGGGGCAGTTGCTTAAGTGGATACACCTATATAGAAGGACTTACTGAGATTCAATTACCGCAACGTCTGCGAGGCACGCTATTCCTACACCCCTTCGAAGATATCCAACCCTCCACGTTTCCTTACAACCCCACCTTTCCATCTAAGGAAGAACGAACAGGTGCTCTCGCGCCTGCTGTAAATTGCACCCCCTGTAATCCAAAGTAAAGCGGTCGTTTTATCCGCGCCAGGAGGTGATGGATGTTCCCTATGTCTTTCGGATAATGGGTTGTGCTTACGCAGCTTCTACCAAGCCACTCCCCTCGCACCCTTTGTCTGAAAAAAGCACGAATTCTTAACCATCCTCGTGCTTAATCTTTTTATAGTATTCATCGTACGAGTCACCATCTATGTATGTTTGCTCCCATTTATAACGAGATAACGAATGGACTATGAGCCTTATAGATATTTTTTTTCAACGTTCAAGATACCGGTCCCAGCAATAAAAAATAAAAATATCTATATGCCGCAAAGATAGCCGAAAAGTCCAGGATTCATCGCCCAATGGTAAGTCCGAATAAACGTGACTCGAACTAGCGAACGACCGATATAAAGGAAATAAAGAAAAATAAAGAGAAAGAGCAAAAAAGAGGAAGGAATATATGAGATATCCAGGTCGAACGATGAGAAAAGCCGAAGGTCCACTTTTGCGTGATAGAAATGGGAAAGTATAGCTCGTGCCTAGATATCGGTGTTTCGTTCGGTTCGAGCGTAAGTACATAATTCATCGGGTGTGCAGCATTGTCGGAGTGTGGCGTGGACTTCGAGGTGGGGGCTTCATTAATACAAATGGCGTCTGCTGAATTCCACTGGAACGGTCCACGCGACGTGGATGTGTTGGCTCGTTGAAGCTAGCCCCGACTATGTTGGAGAATAGCAGGACACACTATCGACGAGGAAAATTCTACCCTATCCCTTTTTCTCGCTCGTACATGCGTCTCTCATTGTGTGAGTGCGCGCGCGCGCGCGCGCATGCGACATATTTCTGCGATCCTTGTCGACTTTCATGAGGGAGTCTTTCCGCAATAACATATTAATATCCCGAAGCATTTGGAGACTTATGAACGTACGCGGAAAACTCGACCCCCAGATCAACGTCGGCCCTTTAAAGGCGCGGTTTTTCTCTGGAAAAATCCGCCGTCCTCCTCGTCCCCCGATGCCACCACCCTCGATGACAACGACGAGCGCTTTTAAGCGTCGTAAAACCGCACTCGCACGTTCCTCTGCCGGTCACCGGATATTGCCGTCGAATTGATAAAGATTCTGCAGACGTTTAACGGAATTTACGATGGAATTCGAAAACCTATGTTGAGAGAGAACGAGAGAGAAAGAAGGCTAGAGAGAGGGAGAAAGAGAGAGAGAGAGAGAGAGAGAGATAGACACTGTGCGAGCCGATCTTACGTAACTATCCTTTCTTCGGTGAATCCTCTTCCCGCTGCAAATCTAATATCCGTTCTATTTTCTATCCTTTATCTCGATCATGGATAAACGTAAAGGCAAAGAAACGTATGTTTAAATAAGATCGTTCTAACGAATCAACTTTGAATAAGTTAATAAAAAAGTAATTACTAAGGAAATTCAATTACATGTAGAATTAATTATCGTTAATGATTAGGAAAGGATCCAGGAAGCGGAGATAAATATCGAAAGGTTTTGTGCTACGACGGAAATCGCAGCGAAAGAAGCGAAGACTCGTTATTAAGTTTATATAGCATTTATTTTTTTAGCAATCGTATAATCAATGTAATATTACAACAGGCTTCGGAACGGTGACCGCTTCTAAAAGAGAGCGTTCCATTACAACGTTATACGTAAACGGCAGGTGTGGCCCTGTTTCGCTCTTTCTTTCTTTTTTTTTCATTTCTTTTCTTCACATGTTCTCTTTATCTCTCACACTTAAACGCATGCATACACAACACACATATACGCATGCAAATTTTCTTTTATTCTCTTTCTCTCTCGTTATCTCTTTCGTTCCCTTTCGTACTTCCACACGCAATCTGGGATTCGGATTGGTAAACAACGAATATTCTAATATATTACAAAAAAGGATCGTTGCCACGTGAAACGTTTACACAAATACATCTACACCACTACGCACGCGGGTAACGTCTACCCTTCTAAATTATGCCTACTCTTGCCTAAATTCATAACTTATAGCACAGCGTAGCAGATAAAAGATTCTAGTTTTGTTTTCTTTCTTTCTTTTTTTTTTTCTTTTCTATTTTTTGTTCAAACCATCTTTTCGAGATCCACAAAATAAATAATTATTTATTAACATTACAATTTTTTTTTTCATTCTTATGAAATACTGCGTTTATCTAAAATCTTACTTCTCGCAAAATGTTCAACCTTAGCGATTAGGTATTCGTATACATACATTAACTAGAGAACAGCGTTACTACTTATGGTAGCGCCGACACGCTCTTCCTTCTCATCTCGCAGGCTTTCTAGGTACTAACGTAGGTACGTACGATATTTTTTATATATATATATATATATATAAATATAGAGATTTTGATCTCTATAACTCTATAATCGTCTTGCTTCTTGGAGGACGACGTTAGACGAATAAAAGATAAAAAATAAACAATAAAAAAAAATAAAGAGAAGAAGAAAAGAAATATTAAGAGACATTTAGAACGCGCTCTGAAAGATATTATCTATACGTTTTATTTTTTATAAGCGAATTTTTATCTAATTAATATTTTCATAAAAGTTTTTCTATAAAATTAACAAATTTCTTATCGCGAATATCAACATAATATAACATTTTTTATCGATCGAAAGAATCGTTTGTACGTCGTCCGTCACGTTTATTAAATGATTACACAGAAACGTTTCGCACGCGTTCAATTTGTCAGATTTACGGACGACGGAAACGTATTCTCGTGTCGTCTCGTAATTATAATAAAAATAACAAAAACATAACATCGTAGTTAACAGTAATCATTTAGCAGACGGATCATTCGAAAGTAAACGGGTGAGCGAGCGTGCAACGAAATAGGCGATACAACAAATTTGAAGGTACAATAATACATTAATGATAAGAAATAGAAGAATAGGAAATATTAGAAGAAGAATAAGAATAAGAAGAATAAGAAGAAGAACGTACACCTACGGTATTTGTACATCGAGCCGCGAAAAAATATAATCAATCGTGCTCACGTATGAACATATTATTTATTTTTCGCGGCATTTTTTTACTGCTCCCCGACCTTTCCATTAAGTTTAACTTTCCATCTGTAGTTTTATTATTGTTGTTGTTGTTATTATTGTTTACTCTCTACTCGCTATAACTAACTTACGAATACTTGTTTAGCCTTCATTACGTATTTAGGTTTCGTAGAGGCGCAACGGACGAGCTGGTCGTTACCAGCGTCCGCAACGCATACGCAAAGACGTTGCTATATCGTCGATCCCCCAAGACAACGACAACGACGACGACGACGACGACGACGACGGTGACGATGACGACAACGACGATCTCGAGGAAGTTCGGATTGCTTAGAAATAAAGTTAGTTTCGTTTGGAACTATCTCGAGAAAATACGCTGCCGAAAAAGGAAACGACGTCGAACGAAGGACGTCGCGAACACGGAAGAAAGATCCTTTTTAGAATCAATACACTCTTGTCTTGTGAAAAGAACGGTGACCGTGTCGAAAGCTCACTCTGTCCATTTCTACGAGTTTACTACGACAAAGCAGAAGCTACGGACAGAGACCGAAGAGGGATATTCTGGCTGTGGGATATCAACTACGACAGTGTTAAACTATAGTACGGATGCGTACATTCTACGTACGTTTTGGATATCAAGTTTTCATGTTTATGTGTCGTGTCTAAGTATTTCTCTCTCTCTCTCTCTCTCTCTCTCTCTCTCTCTCTCTTTCTCTTTCTTTTCTTCTTTCTCTCACCATTTCTTTACGTGTCTTATGTGTTTGCGCATTTTCAGTGTCTATATATACGTGAATGTGTTCGAATGTGTACGTATGTGCGTTGGGAGAATATTGGTCAAAGTGAGCTACGGGAGGTCCGGGGGGTTCGTCACTCACCGGTGCAGCATCTGATTCGCCGCAACCGATAAATTGACGATCAACGGATATGCACGTCGACCATCTATTTGGCATTACAGAGACAGCGGGGTGCGGCCTGCCACTCACCTGAAACATAAACCAGACAAAATTCCCCGTTAGATCGTATCCCATCATTTTCACCTTCAATGTTGTTCCTTTTTTTAATTTTTTTTTTGTTTTTGTTCTTTTTGTCTTTATCGTTAAGGGGGAAAAAGATAATTGAGATCTTAATATTTAAATTAAGAGAGAGGGAGAGAAAATGAGAGTGTAGAAAGGTTAATTAAAAGTTGGCCATGGCACGTTTTGGTTCGGTAAAGATTCAACGAGTTGAATAACGAAGAAGATGTAATACTTCTTCGTTTCGTGCTACGAAACGGAACGATTTTTAAACAGCGACTTCTTTTGCTTCTATGTTATTTTTTTTTTCTTTTTTTTTTTTTTAATCTCGTTAAATATTCCAACTTGAAAAAGTAAAAGAGGATAGATAGAACGTGAGATTAGTTTAGTTCATGTAAGTAAAATATAACAAGCGCGGGCGTATTTGAAAAAGTCATGATATTTTTACGAAACGCAAAGTCCAATTTCACGAGCCATTCTTCATTCAACGAGATGATACCTTCGTAGCGTGTGAAATACAGGAAGATGTGAAAAACACGTTTCCACGAGAATCGAACAATGTGTGGCCCTCTCTTGAATGGATTTATTCGGACTCGGCCCGGACTCGGCGTAGCTAGAATGGAACTCGCGAAAAACTGAAATATTAAAATTGCGAAACGATTCTACCACGGCCCCGGCCCCGGCCCCAGCCCCGACCCCGACCCCGGCAACACGGTAGAAATATAACTCGCACTCTCGCCACACTGCAATCTAGCAAACGTTGTGAATTCGGAAAAGCGCGCTGCATCATGTAACGTCCAGTTAAACTTTCAAAAAATAAAGAACGAACAATTTGTCTTTTAAACATCGACGATGATAACAGAGAAGAAAAGAATTTCCTTGCGTACCTTGTTTTTTTCTCTTCTTCTTCTTCTTTTGTTTTTAAATATTTCGATAAATTAAATCGAGTAATATTTCGAAAAATTCGATGTTTTTTATTTCTTCTTCTTCTCCTTCTTTTTTTACCCGGAAATTTCAAATATCTATACGAACAGAGGGTGGATCGTTTGGAAGATACGAGCTAGTACTGTACGTTCATATGTTGAACGTGTCGGGGACAAGAGACGGGACGGCATTGGATGGAATGGGACGGAACAGGACGACGGGTCGGGTCGTGCTGCGCTGGTTCAGCTCCTTTTGTAATGGAACGAATGCACGTGGTGCCTTGTCCGGCCACACGCACGTTGAGTCTCAGCTTTCCTGGTGTTTGTATCTACGGATATCGATAGCTCGCGTTAAGAGCGAAAGGGGTTAGAAAAGCGGTCGAGACAAAGGAAGAGAGGAGCCGACGTTGTGGCTTTAACAGACCAGTCGATATCTTCTCTATTCCCTTCCTTATTTTTATTCTCTCTATCTCTTTCTATCTCTGTTTCTATCTATCTTTCTATTTTTCTCTTTCTGTCTATAGAGATTTTACATTTCCAACGTTACAATTTTCAAACAGAAACTCGTCTCTTCATATTTTGTCTATATTTTTTTTTTTTTGGAATTATAAACATAATTTGTTTTTAAATTATAATTAATATTTTAACTTTGTATATAAACGCGAGAAGAAATTCAAATTTCGCATAATATTTAATCTTCCATTGTTTTCGCTGCTCTCTGACTTCGTTTTCTATCTCTTTTACTGCATACGGATTTAAAAATTTTCCGTCATTCCGATTTTTAAATAGGAACTCTGTGTTTCGTACTTTTATTGAAATTTTCGATAATTAAACATATTTTATTTATACGTAATAATTATTTTTTATGTCACTTTAAATTCATACGAAAAAAATTTCTAATTTCGTATAATGTTTTATATTATTTTCATATTGTTTCGTCTTTCTCTTTTTATCTCTTTATGGATTTAATATTTTTATTATTTTTTTATACTTTTGCTTATATTGTTGATATAAAAGTAAACATATTTAATTTAATAATAAATTATAATCAGAAATTTGTTAATAGTAATTATTTTTGGTATTTGATTAGTTTCATATGTCGACTCTATATAGAAAGAATTATAATTTATCAAAATCTTCAATCTTTTATCTTTTTGTTATCTTTTATGAATCTTATACGATCTTTCTCATTCTTTCACGATTCTAATGCGACGCAGTAAACGAACCACGACCAATATCTTATGCAAAAGCGGAGATACCACAATTCACCCTTAAAAGGTACGCGAAAAACTTGTTTGTCCTGGGCCTCTTGATATGCGTAGCGAAAGAAAAGTATAAGAAGAATATCAAGAAAAAGAAGAAGAACAAGAAAAAAAAAAGGAAAGAAATAGCAGGAATATCTTAAACTATCTTTCTTTCTCTCTCCCTTTTTTTTTTCTTTCTCTTTCTCTTACGAAGAAGCGAGATCCATTTTCGTAGCCATTTCTACAGGCACCATCCTTTGTACTTTTCTCCGTGGATCCATTTTTTGTCCACGCTTTGTCTTGTCAAAAAGAATCTTCTCGCCCACATCCATCGTTCTTCTTTTGTGCGAAATAATTGGATTTTGTGTAGTAAAAAGAATTCACACGAAAAGGAGGAGACGTATCGACGTTTTCTTGTCGTGCTCGTAAATATATTACATTTTCATAAATGATCGTATTGTGTAAGTTTAAGAATAGTATCATTAGAGAACTTAATAATTTATTTTTATAGGTATGGAAATTTTTGTATTCGACGCATGAATTATTTCTACATGCATTTAAATGTATATACAAATATATAAATGTATCGATACTCTGTTGACATTTAATTATCGTTAAAACGTATATATATTTATATCATTAATATAAATATGTATGTCAATTATCTTTCTAAATTGAAATAATTTCGATCAATGAATTTCTACAATTTCATTTCTAACGAGATCACGCCAATAAAAAGCTTACGCTTCCGCGTAAAACCGTTGCGCCACTTGAAATTTATTCGACGGCCAGTTTCGGCATTAGAGTAGCGAGCTATAATTCAAAGATTACCGAATCCTTATCATTTATAACAAGAACGATAAATTCTGGGGTGAACAAGTTTTTTGGATCTTCTTAAAGACGCGTACGAGGAATAGTAGAATCGTCGGCACGATTATGCTTTCAGTCGTCGCCATTTGTTTGTACGACGATCTTGTATTTTATACAATTTGCTTTTCGGCCTAGTATCACTTTGCCTTTACTTTTGCTTTCCGAGTTTCTTCGATTGTAAATGTGTGTATACATGTATATACGTACATTTACATTGTTGTATCAACCTACACCAATATATAATAAGTATATAAATATATATATATAGATATATATATGTATATGTACACACGTATACACGCAATGCCGGCGCTTCTTTGAACATTTATCAGGATTTCCAAAGGAGCTAGAGTTTTTAAGCCGCAATAAATTTTCATCGTGCGCGCCTGCGCGTCTAGAACGTAACGCGACGCTTAAATCTCGTAAAAACCGAAGGAAGGAAGGAAAGAAGGAAGGAAGAAAAGAACGTGATTCCGAGAGACGACGAGAAGGGAACAACAGAGCCTTAGCAAGAAAGTTCATCGTAAAATGTGATTCCGTTTGATTAGATATTTCCCCGAGAAAATCTTCAGATCCATGCGAGTTTGCTTAAACTTTTTATTATTTATATTATTTTCTCAGATAATAAGTATTAATTTATGTGCTTAGGATCGATAAATTTCCAACACGATTGAAGACAACATTAATTATCAATATCCAAACTTCGATGCGTCAACTTTTGGTGTTTTTATATTAATTTTATTTTGTGTATAGCATTAGTTCGTATAAAAGTATTTATTTTACATCTATGATTACAATTTTATCTTCTACAGTTCATTGGCTATATAATAATCTTATCAGTTAACAAGCGGATATCGTAATGAAGTATATCGAGGAGAACATTGCCGATAATAATTTAACAGGAGCGTTGTATACGCAAGTGCTCCTTTCAAACTTATAATAAATTATCTCTTGACTCTATGAAGGTCTCGTTACGAGACACGTTATTCGCTCTTGTAAAACAATAACGAAGATTAACTGGCGAGTCTTATTTCGTGCGATAAATGTGTACGGCATACGCCATCTTTGTGTAAGCTTTCGAATTGAGAAAAGAAAGAATTAAGCTTATATAAAAGTGTAAAATCGAGTAGAAGCAGAAGCCGAGTACAAGTTAGGTGTATATATTCAGCAACGTGATTAAGGCTTAACGCATACGATATGAGGGGACGGGGACATTGGACAGCCATCGTTGTTATAAGCATTGTCAAACAAAATCTCTCGGGGGCTTGGTGCTGATGTAAATAATTCCGTGGAGTGGATGGAAGCGACGGGATTCCTTCATTTGACGCGATGCTCGCTCGATTCCGGACTTGGTAAAAAATAAATGAAGCTGACGCGTACGTGCAGAAACGTGCACAGACCGACGGGGTAGAAAGAGGTAGATAGAGAGAGAGAGAGAGAGAAAGAGAGAGAGAGAGAGAAAGGGGATGAGAGTCAAGCACGGAGCGGTTATTATCTATCGCTCTCGTTACCACAGGTTGCTCGTAAACCGGCCGCATCGGTGGAACGGGCCGTTTGCTTGGGTTGGAGTGCACTGGCATAGGTAGTAGGTAGATACCCGTACTCATATCGTCCTCGTCCTCACCCTCGTCTCCTACCAATACTAGAACGACCCACTCACTTTCTCTCTCTCTCACTCTTCCCCTCTCTTCCTATCTTTCTCTCTCTCTCTCTCTCTTTCTCTTTATCTCCTCGCTACTACTCACGCAGAATATCGTGGGAAGTACGAATTGACGGCCGTGTCAAGGGGGTTGTTATAAAACCTCTGCTTTTGCTCCGTCCTTTCCATACCACGAAAGCGATCACTTGTTATACATACAGATACATATATGTATGTCCTGCCTATATACGTACATACATCAAATGTTTCTTTTCAAGCATTTAATTCCTTTCC